CGGTCAAACTCATAACTACGGCGATAGAGTTTAATTACATGTGCTTCGATATTAAAATTAAAAAGTTTAAATATCAAAAAAAAATAGTGGCTTGCGATTTTAACCGCCGACCTTACGTACCAACGGCGGCGAACGGTAAGGCCACGAGACCAAACTAGCATATATGATGACAAACTTAAATTTGATGTTGGTTTTATCTACCTAATATCTGTCATCCGCGTCGAACACTTTTAGTAAATTTTGAAAAATGGTTTGATGCAAAGTGTCAAATGAATGTAACAGAAGTAGTTTATTCCAAATTGTATCACAAGTATATTGAGATAGAGTTCAATTTTGTCAAATGTACCGATATTTTTGCGCACCTTGACTGCTTCGTTACTTATGACGCTGTGGCTGCTACGATATTTATGAGCATCTTGCATGTACTCATATATTTGACGCTGTGTATGTACCGATGTATTTGAGCAGGGTGAATGTATCTATTATTTTGAGGACTTTTGTTGTACCGATATAATTGATTACTTTTGATGTACCTATATATTTGCATATCTTGTCTGTTACGATCTATATGACGCTGACTGTACATTCGTGAACTCCTTGACAACCCGGCACCGCCCCGTCTCGCGTTCGGCATGCCGTACACAGAACCTTCACATCAATGTCGCCAATTGAGCCAGATTAAGATATAATTTAGCTCACAAAATATTTCGTCATTTTTCCTTGCACGGATGGACAGCCCGCGGTTGGCCAGGCGGCCACTTCCTTTCAATCCAAAAGTTGTGAGCGAGAATAACGTTACACGACTTATATCTTAACCTCGCTCAATTAGCGGCGTCTAGGGACAAGTGAATGACTCAGTGAACGAGAGGTAGGGCGGTGTCGGGTGGACGATTTGACGAATGCGCGTTAACCTTTGGTGTATACTGTGTTCGGAAAACAAAGTTCTTAGAAACTGGTTTTAGGTAACCAACGCATCCTTGCACATATACTGTCGAATCTGGTTAAGCGAGAATCCAAGGGATTGCTATATTCTTCTTGTTTAAAGTTTCTCTCTAACCCGAGTTTCGCGCTTATCGATGTCGATCGTCGGGACCGGACAATGACCCTCGCTTATAGAAGTTTTTCGCTTATCCAGGATCGATTTTAAAATATAGAGAGCACTTGTATGTTACATACGAAATTTTTAAATAAGATAATAAATCATGTTTTAAAACAAATTAGAAATTTGTACTAGCCAAAATATGATTTAACATATCCCTGATACATACAGAACATATGATTAATGATGTATAATAATATAATATATTACGCGTCTCTATTAATAAAGAGATTTTTTATAATCTAATAACAAAACATTATGTATGTTTATGTAAAATAATATGAAATCTTAAAGAATTTTTGTAATAATACATAAATCTTGCCCTTGTTAGTTCAAAACGAGGCACTGATACGGAACAAATAGGTTGAAAATAGTTACATTTATATGAGACTTAACACGTTTCGTACCACTACGATTATACAATGCATTCAAAATTAGTATCGGTGGCATTGGACGTGTTAAAGTGTGTATGATGTGCAATATATGTGTACATAAACGTGTGTGACGTTCGGTTGGTGTTGGCAAGGAGTGGGCGCAGCTGGTGCAGAGCCTGGTGGAGTCGGGCTGGACCGCGCACGTACAAGTATCCGATAATGTACGCCCATCTACACGTTCTCCTCCTATCCTTTATTATAGTGTTTTTTCCACGTGCTACCTCTACTAGCTTGTACGCATTTTGCGGTAAATAATGGACCAATGCAACAACAAAAAGTGCTTTTTTCAAATTCTTTATTTCACCATACAAACAGAACTGTATTGTAAATGTTACTTTTACAGATGTAACTCTTTTCGTCGAATGAGTTGAAATATTTTTGGAAAATTAGCATCGTGTTACCTTTAGCCGCACAGTGCGTACATGTTTTTTTTCTATAATCTCTTAGATTACACTTAAAAGAGTTAACCTCAGACTTTTTTTTATTATATTCGAATAATATAATTTACCAGTATTAGGGTATTTGATTTTGTATTCTTTTGTCTTTATGTTTTTATGGATATAAAATATTTATATTATTTCTTTCCTTAAAAATTTTAATTATCTATTATTTTCATATCTTTCTTGAAGCCACGGAAAGATATAATGTAGAGGTAGCACAATATAAAAGGCGCACGTATAAATTCTGATTAGTTTTGCGCACTGTTGCAACAAGGAAATGAACAATTAGGTACACTGAATGAAATATTTTTTATTTCTGTTCATATCCTTTCATCTTAAATGATATTGCGACCTTTACATTCAAGGTCAAATCATTAAAGGTGATTTAGTGTTATTTTTTAATTTAAAAAAGGCTTTTTCGCTCAGTTCCTGGTATAAGCATGAACACTTTAAAATGTATTATACTTTTAGTAATAAGGTGGATAGTGATGTGATGAAAGTACATTGATATATTTGTAGACTATTTAGCACTCAAATAAACGGCACTCGAGTACGTTAAAACGCCTGTCGACTTCGATCTTTCATTTAATATTAACCGTGGATTTCCACTGCCGACATTCTGATTAATCTGAGATAATGTAAGTTGTATAATTTTATGGCCATGGAAACCCATACGCATGTTGTTTGCATTTTTATTACAATTAGATAGTTTTTGTAAGTTATGTAATTGTTTAAATATTTTTTTACTTTTCATTTTTTTTTTGTACACATGTTAAAACATATAGTTCTATTTTGCTTAAGTTATAATCTTTACGCTTTTCTTTTTATTGTTATAGCGCTGTAGATGTTAAGTGATGTTCTTTATATTTCAAACTGTTATAAGTTAAGGATTAATCTATTTTTAATGAAATTTTGCAGTTAGACCCTCCGACATCGAGTTACAACACGAGTTACATCAACCACAGTTCACCGCACTCGCCGCAGACGACGAATTCACAACTCACATATTCACAGGTATGTTCTCTTTGCCTCAAAGGACAACAAAAGCTGTCCCGATTGCGAACGACCTATTCTGCTAATAAAAGCAGCAAACGTAGCGTTTGTAAAAATAATGCATTTCTGGCCGTCTGACGAAGAGAGTTACATCTCTTATGAGATCTTTGCAAGGAAAAGAGTTACATATCTATAGAGAGCATAGGGAATACTATATAGTTTTGTATAACGTTATGACGCAGGCGTCGCACGTACAGCACGTCCAGCATGTACAACACGGGCAACACGTGCAGCACGCGCAACACGTGCAGCACGAGACGCGGCGCGCGCGCGACCCCGTGCCGGGCGGCGGTGGATACCCCCCGCTGCCGCTCGCCTCGCCCTCCGCACCCACCGGACCCGCCACGCCCGCCAGCATACCCGACATCATACTCACAGGTGAATAGAGTGCTTCAACAATCACCTGTGATCGAATTATAAACAACTAAGTTCACTTCTAACTACAAAATTTAACTCAAAAAACGTTCCTTACTACATTGTGTATTTTTTTTTTCAGATTATTCGGGTGAACTAGATGCGGGCATATTTGGCGGAGAAGAAGCGCAATTGCGAGCCGGCCTAGACCTAGACGACCTCAACTTGCTGGAGGAGCCTAGTGCGCTGCTGCCGGACTCTTCGGTCGAGCATGAGTTCCGATTGGACCGCTTGTAGTAGTGCGCTCCCGCTCTCGCATGCGGCGTCTCCGATCGCGCCCTCTCGCTCGCACGTTAGCGCGCGGGAAGGCCGACCGGGGACGGTGGAAGCTACGACAGATCGCCGCCGCGCTCGACATCGGGCGCGACGCGAGACTCCCTATACTTCATGACAATTTTCTATCTTTTCAAGTCTGAGTTAGTGAATATAGTATTCGATGTAACCGTCGTCGTGTAGTCGTCAGGTGTGAGGTGCGCGTGCGCAGTGACGGACTACGGCGCGGCTCACACACATTCCCAGCGTCCGGACTCGGCCTGAACTCTCTTGTCTGCCGCACTCCAAGTGTTTCTATGTGCTTTTAAACGAACCTTTTACTCATCATTTTAAAATATGTAAAAAAAGTTACTTTCTCTAGTTTAGATTTTTTTAACGATAACGATCTATCGATCCTTCGACGATTTATGTACAGCGTTAAGTGATAATTTTTTTTTAATTAAGATTTGTGAATATGTACTCGAATATCAATGAAAAGTACGATTTTGAATCGTACAATTATTTCTTTACGCGAGTTTATCGCTCCTTTCTATTGTAAATACAAACTCGAAAGTGTTCACTTTATAAAATTGCATTTAAATAGCTAATGTTGCATCTAGTGTAATGGCGCCCGACCGGACACGTCCGGGCGAGGCTTTTCTTTAAATATTTTCTATTTGAAATTTTTCAATTCCATCTTACAGAAAGGATACAATGAGACAATTTTCGCTGACATCATTATACATGATTAAGTTACATACTACTGTAATATTTCAAATATTACTTTTGTTAATTGTCCTCTTTAAATAAAAATATACGAAGATTATAAATGTTTTATAATTTTTTTTAATAAACAAATAAGTTCAAAAAATAAAGAAATGTTGAAATGACGATTGCAGTATACAACTTTCTTAAAGTTTTCGATTTTTAATGAGATGCAAAGATTTAATTCTAGAATATTCTAAATATTATTTTTTTCTATTTTTTTTACAATCATTTAATTTTTATGTTCAAAATATTATTTAAATTAAAATTTATGTTAGCGTTTCTAATTTCATGAAATTTACTAATAACAATATTTATTTAGCGAAAAAAATCTTATGTTTCCTATCTGTAACATCGGCTATTTTTCTACTCGATAGTACTTTAGTCCATTTCAGCGATTGCTCAAGTGTTGACTCAATTACCGATCGGCTTTACCTTACCGGTGTCAGTTGTCCACCGCAAACTTCGAGCACACGCTTTATCAAGCCTACATTCAGCCCATATTCCTTTTTTTATTAGATATATCGTTGTAAATACGAACGGGTGGTGATTGTTATAAATAAAACTTCTTTATAAGCTTTTGTCGCAAAACATATCCTTGTGAGTCTATGTTCGAAATACGAATACGAGGTCCGTTTCTTGTTTTCTATGCATACAGTTAACAATATGTTGATTTTATTTTTTAAAAATTTATAGATTATAAATGCATTTTGATAGTAGTAGAACTACAACATAAATGATGCTACTAGTTAGGAACACTTTGAGACAAACCCGTGCTCGCCTTGTCGTAATGGTTCGTGATTATTGCTCGCCTTCGAAGTACAGTCAGCGTGACATCCAGTAGGGAGTACAAAATAAAAAATATAACAATTTTATCTGTTTAAAATCATTGTTCAGACAAATTAAATTCAAATACGTGTTACTAAACGTAATCTACATTTATTAAAATACATTATACAATTGATTAAAATAAATGATAGCGACAAAATATTTGACGTTGACTGTACTTTTTACTTGTGCACAATAACATGAAATCTAAATCCGATGACGTAATAGCAGCGTGTTTGCACAGTGTACAACAAAGTTAGGTTATCTATAGAAATGTGCAATCAGCTTGTCTGAACTTTGTCGCGAGATGTACGTACAAGGGCATACAGGGTGTTGTGAATTTCTTTTGTTATTGTGCACATTTTGTAATGCATACTTTTGTACATTTCCCCTGTATATTGTATTTTTGTTTTAGGAAACATTGCGAGTACGTTTAAATACTATGTATGTGTGTTTTTTTATGTTTTGTTAATGCTCATTATATTATTGTTTTAAGAGTCTAGTCATCATTTTCAAATGAAGCAGGCACTTCTGTTTACCGACTCCCCACCCCCCTTCAAAAACCCTGCGAATATATTATATAATTGCATATAAAACTGTACAAAATCCAATACAAATTATTTTTCAATGTTATATCTACGAAAATTATATTAAAAATAGTGTTGTATATTTTGTTGGATGAATTGTTGTTTTACGCAATGAAACTTTTAAAATGACGTTGTAAGATTATAAAATAATATGACATATTGTTTCATAGAAAATTCGATAGTTTATTACGTATTATAATAATAATTGTGATAAAGAAAATATGCACAACATAATTCATAGTGACGCCTAATCAGATGTTATATTTTTTCTTTGTAATTTTCATATATATATATTTTTTTGTAAATCTAGATACCTATAATAATTACAACATAGGAAAGTGCAAGATATGACAAACATAATGACGTCTTTACCTCAAAGGGGTAGGCTGAGATTATAGTTTTTCATTTTTGACATCTATAAAACATTTTTTTTACGAATTCCGAACTCTTGATCACTGTCCCTATGATGTGTTTCTATTCAATAGAAAATATTTGTATTATAACAAACTATCCATTTTAGGTATTCAAAAAACACAATGCAATATGAAACAAGTTCATATTTCTTTAGTACAAATGAATGTATAATTGTTTACTGCCGTTACGTTGGTTGATACTGACGCCAAAATTTACATTTTTATATTTCGAACAATAAATGGCTCGGCAATCGTTTCAGTTCACTGACCTCTATACATGGACAGGCTATAAGCCATGGCATTTTGTGCCTATTTGATTTTCGCCATATTGGCGCTGGCTATGGTGAAGACTCGAATTACACTCGAAGTAATCTATGTTTTAAGTCTGAAAAAACCTGTCCTTGTGTATAGAAGTCAATGTTCTAGGTTCATTCAAGAGATGTGTAGGCTTTTGGGCTAAGATATTTTTGATACTACTGGAACAAAATTCTGTTTTTTTTTTAAGAAATATGGATGGAAGGATTTGAGGATGACAGTATGCTAAGTGTATTGACCACTATTCCTTCAGTTTAATCCCTACATTTATAATTAATCATGTATTTGAGTAAAAAAGTCTTCTGTAGTTCGACTTTAGTACATATCATTCTTTCTTAACTTAAACCAAGCCTACATGTATCTAAAAAAAACTAAATTACGATTGCTGAATACTTTATTGATTTGTAACATCATATTTTTGTATAAATTCGATTTTTTACCTTTTGCATTTGAAATGTAAGGTTTATGTTAACACTATGGTGGCAACATAGGTACGGAAAGGTTCAAGAGCAGACCCTTAATCAGAAATTTCTTAGAAGCAAAAGTACAGTTGAGTCGATAAATTACTGGAACTTAAACTATAGTGATCATCTTGCTTAGCCCACATATTTAATTTACTACGTGCTGATGAATTGAAAACTTAATTAAGAATTTAGATGTTTATTTTATTATGAAGCGAAATTATGAAATACTTAGCCATCTTCGGGGGTCTTAACCCCTCTTCTGTTATGTTACCTTGTCTATGGGTCTGCTCTCACGATGCTCGAAGGCGTTGTATCAAATGGTGCGAAATATTTTTTACTAATTCTGTTATCTATTCTTTATATTTGTATGACATTAAATGTAAGTAAGCCATAAAATGTTTCCTTCTCAAATATGCACAAACTTATTGAGGATTCGCTGTATAACGTTTCAATGGTTTGTTTATTTAAACCAAAATTAATGTACATAATAAGTGTGATAGAGATGAAACGGTCTCATTTTAAAATAAAATTGTTGTAAGTAATACTGACATTTTTATTTTAGGCATACTCAAAACTATCTTGATTCATCTAAAATGTTAGTGTTTAAAAAAAATAATTTTTATTATTATATACCATCAATACTTTTTATAACCAAAATAAAACTGGCACATAATAAAAATAAAATTTTATGATCGAACGAAATTTAAATTTAAGTCATGCTGTCAATTAATTTGTCAATTTTGTAATGTGTCTTGTCATAAAACTTTTAGAATGCGTACTTTCTTTATATTTTCATTAATTTTCTATTTATTTGAGGTATCGTCTGCTAAACCATTGTCTTTAATTGCAGGACAAACCAGGTATGTTACAAAAATTAATATACTAACATGTCACTTAATCAAATGTGTACAAAATGCTACTTGATATGCACGTAGATAATATGCTCTCGCTTTTTTTATCCGTAATAGTGCTAAAATGATTAGGTTGTTAAATGTTTATATTGCATGTTGTCTCGAAATTTGAAAATCCATTGGAATAATTTAGTCAAAACTCGAATCTTGGCAAGTCTAAATGTTGTGTCTTATCAATCGACTATAAGAATATTTGTTCATAGTGATAGAACACATACATATAATTTTGTTATATAATTACCGAAGGGAGACAGGGGAAGCAGAGTATGAGGGCAATGAAGAAACCGCGGCCGAGGATTATCAACAGGATTCTGATCAAGACTCTTCAGTAGACACTCAAGTAAAAACATTTTTCATTATTAGCTATAGAAACTCTATAGATATTTTAAATAGCTTAACTAAATCAATGTTTTGGACACGATAATTAACAGTAAAATCATCGTTACAGGAGGGAACGAATAGCAATGGTCGACGAGAAGCCGTACAAGACAATTCACGTCTCCCAGATCTAAATAATAATCCATACAAGCAACATAGCAACAATTTGCAAAGAGGACATCTTAATAATTTTGACAATGTAAATATTGCTTTTAGAATATTAGTACGTATTATGTTCTTCTTGATCATATCAAAATGTCTTTATAAAGTTTCCAGAAATATCCGGCATTAGCAGGGATGCTCGAAATGACAAAATTTCTAATACAAATATAGATTCTAACGGCAAGCCTGGTGGAAGATATCGGCAGCCTGATACTTACTCAGAGAACAACGAACAAGACGCTAGACAACATTTTAATGATAATGCTTACAAAATAAATCACGCACAAAATTTAGGTTTTGATAATAATATTAATAAAAGGGCCATGCTACCACCGGGTGCCAGTGATGAAGGTGATTTGCTTTTTGAAAATAATAGAGACCAACTGAATAAACTAGACAAAAGCGGATACGCAAGAGAAGGCGAGCCGGGTCTGCAACCACGTTTCTTCAAACATCAAGCTTACAATATGCCTGGGGAGAATAAGGAAGCGCCAGATTTTAAAAGATATGATAAATGGCGTTTAAATCGTAATAGACGTCAAACACCAAAGACTAATTTGAAAACAAATGATGAAGCGAATGAATCGACACCTTCTGCGGATAGTAAAGAGATAGACTTGGTCAACGAAGACGAGGAGTCTGCTATAAAAAGACATGTCAAAAAATTGTCCGGACCGGAACTCGAGGAGCTATTTAATACGCTCTCTGATGACAAAAGAAGTTTACTGAAAAAAATCATAGACAATGACGCTGATAACGATGATACAGTAAGTAAACGTGAAATAACAAAAAAAGCTGGAGCAGTTGAACAAAATAGTTACATAGAGAACGGGCAGTTAGATTCCAGCAAAATTCAAGGAGTGAGTTCAAACGTTGAAGAAAGTAACACAGAGACCTCCTTATCCCATGAGACAACTGAAACTAGTAAAAAATCAGTAAGTGCTACTGAATTAGGGGAAATAATGCCTTCTAAGAGTTCTGGCGGATGTGATAAGTCAGAGAATAAGCTAGACTTAGCAAATCCTAATGAAGATCTTAAAGAAGTAAAATCGGAGGGAATTTTAGATTTAGAGTCCAAAAAAAGTGATACCGATGTCGACCTAGAATCTAATTCCCAAATAATGACAAAAAATGATAATAAGCGCGAAGCCAACATAAATGAAATGACTAATATGGAAAAATCATCAGATGACACACAAATTGTAGATAGGGATTACAGTCTTAAAGATTTTCAGGGTTCTATGAATAATCAAGATATGTTCTTGCAAGACGACGAATTAACCGATTTGATTAACGAAGAGACTGAACGACAAACTTCACACAAAAATGGCTTAAAAAGAGAAGCATCTCCGGATGAATCTGTCGATTTATCTAAATCGATTAAATCCTTAGAAGAGTCATTCCCAAATCCTAAATCGTATGATGAATCAAATCCTTTCTACGGATCGGATATGGCACCTTTGGTGAGAGTCAAAAGAAAAGATGCAGATTCTGCTATAATGAAAAGATCGGCAAGTGTAATAGCGGATTCCAACGTACCATATTTTCCTAATAAAGGCGAAAATGACGACGAGGATAATGACGAAGGAAGTGAATTCGACGAAGACGGATTTTATGATCGAACATCTAATTTTGCAAGGAATAATGATAATAAACCTTATGACACGTCTTGTGCAAAAGAAGAGGACAGAATATTTAACCAAAAAGCTGGCCATATCTATGGTAACGAAAACTTGGAGAGTGACACCTCGAATCTCGGCTCGGACACAGATAACGCTATGACGGGAGCGGAGGGCATCAATGACAACCTGATGTACAGCGCGCTTCGAGACCGACGCACTTCAGAAGAGAACGATAACAAGGTGTTGGACGACAAAATTAAAGATATGTCACCGGAACGTCGCTTGCGGTCAACACCCTTGATGGATAATCAAGCTAAAACTGTCTCCGAGACTAATATAAATGTACCCGTTCCGGGTTATCAAGAAAATGACGCTTTCGGACCTCTGCCGCGGAGCTATGAAGGAGATTTGGGTAGGTATAAAAGAATTAGGCGCGTGAAGCAAATGCCAATGTTTCAGGAAAATCTTACCCAGACTGAATAACTATTTAGTGCTTACGTAATATACGTGCTATTTATGATAATTTTTAAGAATTTCGAAATTGTTTCCTTAATAATGAATAACAGCTTTAGTTTATACTTACATTTACTTTGTTTTGTATGTTTATAAGTTTCAAGTATTTCGTTTAACTTGCTTAAAATATACCCATTAATTGAAACATTATTTGTATTATTTCATTAATTTAATTCCATTAGGTGACCTTGCTTCTGTTAATGTTCGTTTAGTTTTATGACTTTGCACTATTGCTTTGAAATAATTGTAAAGTTTTCAACTATACATGACATTACAATGCATTACCATTGACCGGGTAGAGCTAATAATAAATTAAAATAACTTAATATTTTATAAAATTTTATTACATGGCAAAGATAAATAGAATATAACAATTTTACGTTATTATATTGCGTTCTAAGCTATAACATAGAAGGTATCAAATAAAAATGTATAGACTAGCAATGTTAGATTGCATTTTATTAATAAAATAGCTATTTCATAGTTAAATATGTTTTCAAATATAAAAGCGAAATCGAATAAGGAATGCAATAATAAGAGTTTTCGAGTAGATACATAAATATTATGGAGTTAATGTGTTACTTTTGAGGCATAAAATTTATGTTCGCGTGAATCGCGTGTATGTTTGAAGGGCGTTGAGGGCGACTGTAGCGTGGTTGCGGGGCAGGTGCCATGTACGTGCGCCGTGAATTCTCGCTTATAGCTGCTGCTGCCGTCTCCCAGCACGAAGTGCGACGTGTTTCCATGCCGCGCCACTCTTTCCACACGATCCACACGTTCACTCTTCTCGGCTCTCTGGGATTGCTCCGTTCGAGAAAAGTTACCATAGCGCGATTCGGATTGTCCATAAAATTCACCCCCGACACGAAGATTGTCTCTGACGGTAACACGCGGTTGGCGCTCCACTACCGTTGTCGATTGACCATCACGCCTTTGAGTACGACGTGTGTCAGTATTATCAGTGTGCTGTGTAATTACAAATGTGCTGTCGCGTGCGGAGCGATGCATCGAACTTATGCTTTTTCTGTCGCTGCTGTGAGTAGAATTGCTGATGTATTCTCCTCGTTCATTGAGGTTCCCGATGCTCTTACGCTGGGACGCTGCGGTCGAGCTGATGGAGTGTTGAGCTTCGTTAGTGGACGACACACCTTTGCGATGCAAAACTGCGTTGGTGCTTGTTGAATCAGAGACTAGATCGGATGTTCTTTTGTGGTATCCGCTACGTGTTGAGCTGTCTATCGGCGCCGGGGTAACGTCGCCGCCGCCGTGCATGGCCCGTTGGAATTCAATACTTGTTTTTGTTACGCTATCACTTAAATGATTTCTGTTCGACGTGCTAACATGTTGTGATGACCTCGCTTGGTTTACTTGACTTGAAGTTATAACGTTAGTTGAACTTCCAACAACTCTTTGTTGAGTCGATTGTTGATTAATATGTTGCTGAGAATTCACATGATGTTGAGTAGTAGCAACGTGGCCAGATGTCAAAGTTTGTTGTGCGTGGTGAGTGTTCTCTCCATCTACGTGGCGATACACGGTGCTGCCGGTGGACAGGTGCTGCTGTTGATTCGATTGCGACTGGCTCTGATTAATCCGGCTTCCATGTATAACGTGTGTAGTATTTAAATTCTCATGATTGCGACTTTCCGATGAAGCGCGATTTTGGCTAGAGGAATGTTCCTGTGAAGAAATAATTCTTTGTGCGCTATCACCTCGCTGTTGACGATGGGTTATGTGGCTGTCGGAAGCTGAATGTTCAGTCGAGTGTTTCGTGTAGCGTTCTTCTTGGCTTCCTTTCGTAATGTGTGTCTTACTCGAAACTACTCGCCTAGTTTGATCATCTGTAGCATCAAAACTCTGTCGTTGATGAGAATGTGTCGAACTGTCCACGCGGTCCGATGTGACAATGCTTTGATTAGTATCACTGGGTGGAGATGTAATCGGAGACGAGGTGCGGTCATCCCTTATTCTCTTTGTGTTATTGTCCGTATCTGCTCCGGATATGACGTTCGTTTCCACATTTCGTGTAACAGTTACCCACTTGCCTGCTATTAATTTCTTTTCTTTGATTTGTTTAATTACCTTTGTAGTAGAAGATACATTTTTAATGTTTCGTACATCTGTCTTATTATGTTCTAAATTATTTCGGACAGATCCGTTCATCGTATTTTGAACAGTTTTATGAGGAGCTACCCGATCTAAATTATTTTGCGAGCCGGCACGATCTGTTACATCTTGACTCCTGATCGTGTGCTTAATCTGTCCTGTATGAGTGTGTTTTGTTGTAGAATGTTCAGTATGAGTTACGTTTTGTACATTTTGTGAAACAGACTGTTTTACTTGCTTTTCTATTTCACTTTTCTTAACACTTTCATTATATGTCGCATTGTCAGTTCTTGTGACTGACTTTGAATCTACAACTTGTTGTGAAGATTGCTTTGAAACATCATAATATGCAGTGTCTTTTTGATTATATTGGGTTGGACTTTTCGGTTGATTTTCTGTCCTTTCCGGAGTTCTAGGATATTTATCAATATCTGTTATCGTTTTTAAATTATCCTTTGGTTTTATTGGGGTGGATTTGTCTACTGGCTCCCATTTGGGTCTTGATGGACGATCAAAGTCACCTTCTGTTTTTAAGTTATCCTTGGGGCGCACTTGGGAAGGAGTTTCTCCGGGCTGCCATTGTGTTTTAGGTTGTTGGTGGAATTGGCCTTCAGGACGAAGATTATCTTTAGGTCTGACCTGTTCTGGTCTGTCACCTGGCTGCCATTGTGTTTTAGGTTGTTGGTGGAATTGGCCTTCTGGATGAAGATTATCTTTAGGGCGAACCTGTTCTGGTCTGTCACCTGGCTGCCATTGTGTTTTGGGTTGTTGGTGGAATTGGCCTTCAGGATGAAGATTATCTTTAGGGCGAACCTGTTCTGGTCTGTCACATGGCTGCCATTGTGTTTTGGGTTGTTGGTGGAATTGGCCTTCAGGATGAAGATTATCTTTAGGGCGAACCTGTTCTGGTCTGTCACCTGGCTGCCAGTGGGATTTCGGTCTATCCGGGTACTTACCTTCGGGATGAAGTTTATCTTGAGGACGATGCTGTGAAGGCGAATCTCTATCATGGACTCCAGTTTTAGGCCTGTCTGGAAATTCTTTATTCGGGTGACGATTATCTTTTGTACGATCAGGTGAGCCTGGTCTTACTTGACCATCTTTTGGAAATCTTCCGTCGGGTTTTCTCTCGTCAGTTCCAAGCTGCTTAGAATAAACGTTATCTTCAACAATTCGAGTGGTCTTATACGTACTATCATTTTTCAAATCATTTTCTGTGTATACAGAATGTTTAATTTGGGTGTAAGTACTATCATGTGGTTTATCAGTATCAGCATACTCTTCTTTAGGTTTATCAGAATAATAAACAATAGCCTTCTTATCTGTTTTCTTTATATCTTTTTCATCTCGTCTCGCGTAGTCTTCGAAAACTCCTTCAATTTTAAGATTATCTTCTCTACGCGTTAATTTTACTCTTTGACCTTTTACTACTCTGTAGGTATCGGAAGATCTAATGTTTTCCATTTTCCCTTCCATTTTAAGATTGTCTTCATGTTTAACAATGGCAGTTTTTTCTCCTGTAACCACCTTATAATCATTTCTTTGTTTCATGTCGATAAATTCTCCTTCAATTTTTAAGTTATCTTCCCTTCTTATAATATCGACTCGTTCAACATTTTGCCTGACATCCCTATCAATAGTAATGTTGTCAAAGTGCTTAAACGGTTTACGTTTTTCTGCAGGTTGTGATGGAATTGCTTCAGGCGTATACAATTTACCGTCCGGTTTTAGATTATCTTGTGGCTTAACAACAGGTGCTCTGTCGCCTTTAGTAGCACGGTAGTCATCCCGAGTGTAAAGATCAATAAATTCACCTTCAGTCCTTAAATTATCTTCGTGCTTTTGTATCACAACCTTCTCAGTCTTTTCTATACGCTTATAGTCGTCCCGTGAACGGTGGATATCAATTTTACCCTCCATTTTCAAATGATCCTCATGTTTTACTACGTCGACACGATCTCCTCGTGTCACCGAATAATCAGTCCTACGAATTACCTCCATATCACCTTCTGGTTTCAGATTATCTTTAGGTTTCCTGGGAGTTTGTCTTTCCGCTGGTTTCCATTCATCGACTTTCGGTTGTTCGAATTGCCCTTCTGGTTTCAAGTTATCTTTGGGTTTCTTTTGAACTGGTCTTTCAGCAGGTTGCCAATGATCTTTCTCGGGTTTAGTAAAATCACCTTCTGGTTTTAAGTTATCCTTTGGTTTCTTGGCAGTTTGTCTTTCAGCAGGTTTCCATTTATCTTGCTTAGGTTGTTCAAAGTCTCCTTCAGGTCTAAGATTATCTTTAGGTTTCTTTTGAATGGGACGCTCTGCCGGGCGCCATTGGTCTTGCTTCGGTTGTTCAAATTCACCTTCCGGCTTAAGATTATCTTGGGGTTTCTTTTGTGTAGGCCTGTCTGCTGGTCGCCATTCTTCATGTTTAGGCTGTTCAAAGTCCCCTTCCGGCTTTAGGTTATCTTTTGGCTTCTTTTGAATTGGACGCTCTGCCGGTTGCCAGTGGCCCTTGTCAGGGGTGGTAAACTCCCCTTCTGGTCGTAAGTTATCTTGTGGTTTAGAAGGCTTTTGTCTGTCAGCAGGACGCCATTCATCGTATTTTGGCTTTTCGAAATCACCCTCTGGTTTTAAATTATCCTTAGGTTTCTTTTGACTGGGGCGCTCAGCTGGTTTCCAATGGTCCTTCTCAGGAGTTGTGAATTCTCCTTCTGGTCGCAAGTTATCTTCTGGTTTTTTAGCAGTTGGTCTGTCAGCAGGTCGCCACTCATCATGTTTGGGTTGCTCAAAATCTCCTTCCGGTTTCAAATTATCCTTCGGTCTCTTTTGCGTCGGACG